TATYTATTTTTACAKGATGAAACCCAAGGCCTCATRCATGCTAGGTAAAAGCTCTACCACTGAGCTATACCCTAGCAAAAAGTGATTTTAATATGGCTTTAAAATTATACTACCTGTACCTATTTTCCCTTTCCTCAGCACTCAACTACAAATATCTGCAAAATTATGGATCATGTTATTTTACACTATGCTTTATTACTGTCATTTGGTGGGGAGAAATTTACATTACTTAAATTTCAGATCACTAATACATTTCAGATCCTGGAATTTCCTGTCGTTATTGCAGACGCTAAGGTTTTAGAACATATAATTTGGGTTGAAGAATTCTTAACCAGTTAGTTACCATTTCTTTTTCCTGAAGCACTCTTTCCTGAAGTCTTCTCCCAAAGGGAGAAGGCGATGTGCTCAGTCGCCTTCCCAAACAGTGAGATTCAACACAATCTTTCTTCTTCTCCTGTGGGCCTAAAATATTTTCCAGGTAAAACTGTACACACATCTGTAAAAAGGGATGGATTCTGATGTGGGAACATAAAGTTCAGAGAAGATGAAATGTGGATGATAGAATTAACTGTCAAGCATAGTTAATATTCAGAGAAATTATACGAAAGAATCACAAGCTCACTGCTGGTTGAAATCTCACCTTGAGTGTTGAGATGGCCTTGGATGGTTGTGTCCTTGAAGAATGTCTACTGGCAGACTAAAGTATAGATTCATGGGCAGAATGAAGTAACTTTTCTTACTTTCTCTGAACARGCTGTAGAAAATTGTCAGGGTACTATAGAAAGCATGAATCATGCACAAACCTTTTAATAAGAAATGTGCTCAACACAATAGGTGCGGCTGTCTTTGAATCAGGTCACAGTTTTATTAGTTTGATTTCCCATATAGAAATCGAGTGAAATCTTATTTAAGGTTTCACAGCTGAACTTCTACCATTTCCTTCCTGAAAATAACACACACACACACACACACACACACACACACACATACATACACAATATGTACACATGTGCACACAACTAAAAAGGTATACACTGACACACAGTACTCATATATATCCTCAAACACTATAAATATGTACACATACCCCACAAACATACCACCACAGGCACATATTCTGCATATTTCAGAATTGAAGTCTTACCTTTGTACAAGTCACTTTTTATGAAGTAGAAAAGCAGAGAAAACTTACCTTTCACAGAATTCCATAATAATCAGAACAGAAGATTACTGAAAAACTCCTTTTTGTGTCTACACCTAGACTATCTCCCTTAGCCCTTGACACATGAGGAAACGGGAGTCCGCCAGCTTTCTCCAGACTTGAGCTCTATGTGGAGACGTGGTTCCAAGAAAACTTCACTGATGAGTTCTGTCAGCACAAGATCTCCATATAGCTGTACTCTACTCCTGAGTCACAAAAGACCATTTTGATTGCCAAAGGCAACATATCTTTCTCTCTCCCCAAACACTTTCATCTCTCTTTTTCTAGAGAACCAAGTCCCCCACACTGTCCTTTTCCRTAATATGGCTTTATTCGTCTTTCTAGCTTTATTCCACATCCTTTTCTTTCTGCTGACTGCCTTGCCATTTCCTTTCCTGAGTAAAAGTTTGAGTTAGTGATCACTGAAAAGCAAAAGTTTTTATTATCAAATTTCTAGGCAGTATTGAAAAGATATTTTGGGGAAAATAACAAGGAAAGTTATTTTTTCTCTGGATCCTCCAGCTGTCTATGGTTTTATTAAATTGACTTGTGGGGTGATTATCTCCCCTGTTTCTGAAAATCAGACGATTCTGGAGGCTACACTGGGGACAAAGGAGGAAGAACTGCATGTTCCATGGCATTACAGCCCTCACGAGGACCAGAGGATGCTGAAGCTGCATGCCCACAAGTTTTCCCAGGTAAGCATGGGCAAAGGGAYCCACATCTAGATTTTTGGGCTGCTATTTACTCATTTCTAAGTTCTGCAACTTGTAAGTAACAGTTTCCGATCTTTAATTACYTTGACTCCAGTATGAATTATAAGGCTAATTATCACCTCCAAAGGAAGGCCAGTGTTCTCTGCAACTGTGTTCAGCTTCCTGGCCAGCCTGCACCAAGCCCTGGCTGTTGGAAGTCCCCTGATTGGCTAGAGAGCAAAGAAAGCCATTTGCCTCCCAGTGAGGAGTGCTTCTGTTAAATTGGGCTGTGGGGCTTCTCACCAACACTGCTCATAGAAATACTGCTGTGAATTAACTCCCCAGATAATGACGAGGTAAAGAAAATGATTTAAACCATTACCTTAAAATATCCTGTACAGCAGTTTGTTCTTGGTTCTATGCCCTGCAAGAAACGCTTACTGTGTTTAATGTGGTGTGATTTAGGTCACATAAAGGAAAATATCACATTGTTTTTTATTCCATTTTCTCCTACTTTCCACTTGTTTTGTCTCTATTAAAATAGTAGAAATTTCTTCCCAAWTTTCTTTTAACAATTGGAATTAAAAATTCTCTTTTATTTATACTTATTCTCTGGGAAACTTATTCCTAAATTATTCTCCAATTCATTATCTGACAAGAGATCTCTTTTTTTCTCAAGGACATTTACAATTTCCTAAAAATTCTTTCACAAGTGAAACCATGTATGAAGTTAATCTAGATATTTTAAAGTAATCAGAAAAGTTATATTGAATATTTCTATTGTCCAGTGTCTGACACAATGAACCCACCAGAATATGGACTCTGTTACTTTCATTTATTTTATTCACCATTCCTGAGCTCAAATCTAAGCACTTTAGTACACTTTATATGAATGTTAAAATTTAAAAATAAATCAATTGTCTTTATTATAAGGAAATAGAATTCTAACATGCAAGAATTATGAAGACATCTACACAATAACTGATGGATACTGATAAAATTCCTCATTTAATTTTGGATGTAGTTGAAGCTAGTTTGAAGTCCAATGCTAATTAGAAAATTTTTCTCATTCTTAACATTTATTCTTATTGATATTGGTCTTAAAAATTTAAAAATAATATAAATTCTGTGTATAACATACCCAAGAAGACTAAATGGAAATATATGTATATATAATAAGTATATACATTATATATAATGATCTATATAATGATACATGAAAGAGATAATGAGAAAGTGTATAAGGTGTTAATATAAAAATCAGATGTGCATTTTATGGTATAAGTAAGTAACAGAAAGTCACTTTAAGATAATGCAAATTCATACCATAAACATTATAGAATGTTGAGTAATTGTGGTAAAAATTTAAATTTTAACTGGGCGTGGTGGTGCATGCCTGTAATAACATTCGCTTGGGAGGCCGAGACAGAGGGGATTTTAAGTACAAAGCCAAACTCAGCACGTAGCCAGGCCCTGACCAACTTAGAGAGAACCTGTCTCAAAATAAAAAATAAAAATGTGATGTGCTCAGTGCTTGAGTACCAGGTTCCATCCCTGGTACCTAAATCAACCAATCAATCAATCAATCAATCAATCAATAAATTTCCTGTACAGAACTAGGTGATATTAACAAATGTAATGTCTTGATCCCACAAAAATAAAATATTTCTAAAACCAGTATCTGCATAATGTAGGGAACCAGTGTATCCCAAATGAGTAATAAATGATGTGAGAAAATCACGACTGGGTAAATGATCCTTCAGATTGAAAGAAAATGAATTTTTATGTAAAAAGTACATAACACAAATTTAGATTATACATTATAACTAATCATTAATAACTCTAGCAAATCACCACTTGTCAAACTTTATTATTAAAACAAATAATTTCCACAATTGTATAAAAATTCTTTTAAAAACTTTTCCATTTTTAAACTTCATGTATGTGGGAAGCAAGAAATAACCCTGCTGTGATCTGTTAAGCCAAACATGAAAAAAATGTGCAAAGCTGTAATATAATTCTACTATCTCTCCTTTTTGGTGTGTGTGGGGGTAGAATATGGTAAGATATAGTATTTTTTTTCATAAAGACAGACTAGTTATATGAACAAAATATATTTATTAGTAATTAAAATGAATTAGTAWATATATATTTTAAATTTCATAGTTTTAATTTGTAATGTGGTAGATTTATATATATATAATTCCACAAAATCCCTATATATCCTCAATCTATTTATGTAATATAAAGTGTTCCTGTGAATGAAAAAAAAAGTTTTAGAATTTGTAATCTAGAGAGTTGACGTATTTATATTGTTAGAATTTTGGTGGGGGACATAAACAACTGGAAATTGAGCACAGGAGTACTTTAACACTGAGTGCTTTTTACAAATCTTGAGACAAGGTCTTACTCAATTCCTGAGGTCTCACTAACTTGCTGAGGCTAGCTTTGGACTTGAAATCCTCCCATCTCAGCCTCCAGAGTTTCTGGGATTACAGACCAGGAGTGTGGCAACACACTAAGCTGTTGTTTGACTATTTTTAAAAGAAATGTTTTCTATAAAATCTTGTGTTTCTTAAAAACTACTTTTAAATGTGGTATCTTTTTTAGGCGGAGTGTATCTCATGGAAGACAGAATGAATAAATTTGTTTAAATCAGTATAGAGTGAATGAATTTGTCTAAAGGAACATTCATCTGCAAGTAATAAATATTGTCTTTCTTTTCTTATTAAATATCTTTATAATAGAAAAAAAGAAATCATATTCCATGTCACATTGTATTTCTCAGTCTCTTTTCCCAGAAGCAATGTTTGCTGAATTCATGCCCAATGACTAAAAGTTACACAAATGGGATCGTGTAGGAGCTGATGTATTTGAAACTCTGCATTAGATCATGCTGCCTCCTTACTCCATGATAAATCAAACTGAATAAAAATTTTCACTCTAGAAAGTACTATTTAGATTCACAAAGAGATATTTTATCAAATATTATTTCAATTAAGTTTTTTTAATGTTAAACTCTATTGCTTAAGATATTTAATCTCAAAGGGTTTCCATCTAATTATCCAGTTCTATTTGTGGCCTGCAATGTAAAAGCTCCTATTAACATTTCAGACTCCTCTGCTAAAAATAAAAGCAGTGACCCAAGATGGGTGTCTGCACCTAGCAGAGAGATAGGACACCTGCTGGCTATTTATTGGTAGATATCTACAAAAGTAGCAAGTAGGTCAAATTTAGCAGAGGGAAAACATATTTTTTAATTCAGAACTAAAAGATAAATCATTGTTTGAGGGTAGGGGGAGGAGGTTTAAAGTCATCTGGAATATAATAATTGCCGTATAAACAAGAGATGGCATACCTTTGTATTTTCAGGTTTTTCTTAGTATGGGCATATTGATTCTTACATCTGAACATAGTATACCTACTATATACACAGTATATCTAATATGTATTTACTAGTCATCTTCTATTTTTCTCATTAATGTTCCTTAATTTTGAGAGTACAGATCATTCAACTTTTTAACTAAATTTATTCCTAAATATATTTTTGATGACATTATAAACAAGATTAATTTATTTTTCAGATACTTTACTCTTAGTGTATAGAAATGTTCACTCTTGGATCTTGCAACTTTATTGAGTCTGTTTATCAGTTCTAACACCTTTTTTTTGTGGAGTCTTTAGGGTTTCCTGTATAAACCCTGTTTCCCTTTTTATCATRTCCAAACAGAAAGAATTTTGCTTCTTATTTTCCAATTTGAATGTCTTTTGTTTTTGTACTTGTGTGGCTGCTCTGGGTAGGACTTCAAGTTCTATATTGGATAAAAGTGGCAAGTCTGTGTATTCTTGTTTCATTTTTGGTCTTAGAGGAAATGTTTCAATGTGCATGATGAAGACTGATTAGCTATGGGTTTGTGATGTGTGGCCCCTGTACATTCCTTCTATACTTAATTTRGTGAGAGCTTTTACCATGAAAGGATGTTAAAATTTGTCAATATTTTTCCTGACTATTGCATTGATCATATAATCAGTATCCTTCATTGTGCTCATGTAGTAAATAGCACCATTATCTGCAGGGGAAAAATCCACAGAACGTCCCACAAATGCCTGAAAATATGGATAGCATAGAATGATATATATATATATTTTTGTGTATATATATATATATATATATATATATATATGCTATTGTATAAGAGTTCAGAATAGTCTTTCTGAATATATTGTATTTCTGTGGTATCAGTTATAGTGTTATGATATCTCTTTTCATTCTTAATGTTGTTTCAGTCTTCTGTCTTTCCCAGTTAGTCTATCTTAAGATTTATTAATTCAGTATATGTTTTCAAGGTCATCAACTGTGTTTTGTTGATCTTCTCTAAGTGCATGTGCACGGTATGATTTTTTTTTTCTACAAACATATACCCAGGAAAAAAATTAATTTAAAATTAAACACAGTAATGGACTTACAACAATTTATCAATTTAATTGAACTGATTTAAAATAAAACAATTAGAACAATACTCTAAAATACAAGTTATTTAAAACTTAAGAATTCCTACTTTCCTCGGGAATATTGACCTATAATTTCCTTCCTTCCTTCCTTCCTTCCTTCCTTCCTTCCTTCCTTCCTTTCTTTCTTTCTTTCTTTCTTTCTTTCTTTCTTTCTTTCTTTCTTTCTATCTTTCTTTCTTTCTATTTTTTATATCTCTTTCTGGCTGTGATTTCAAGGTAATGCTGCCCTTGTAAGAAAAAATTGGATGTGTTCTTTCTTCTTTAGTTTTTTGAAAGAGTTTAAGGATTAAATTAAGTCTTCAAATGTTTGGTAGAACACACCCGTGAAGCCATTAGGTCCTCAGCTTTTGTTGGATGGGAGATTATTTAAAAAATTAACAATTAAATATCTTTACTCATTTTTGGTGTGTTCAGATTTTTATTTATTCATGATTCTGTGTTGGTAGGTTGTATGTGTCTGGGAACTTACCCATTACTTCTAGTCTGTCCAA